CAACTCGGTGTTCTTCGCTGTTCCTAGCCATGATGTCAGATGGTCTAGTAGCTTCCCGCGCTGCCGGCCACGATCCCTTTTACCATGGATCTTTCCCGTGACCACAAGATGTTCTAGGGTCTCCTTTCGTGCAACGTGGTCTACGAATCTGGCTTGCCTGGATCTGATCTTGTTCAGCAGTTTCCGTGTTTCTCCTCTCTCAGCCAGAACTTGTACATTAGTTTTCTTTGCAGTCCATGGTATGCGTAACATCCTCCTCCAGAACCACATTTCAGTTGCTTCGATCTTTATAGCAACTTGGCTGTCGATGGTCCAAGCTTCACAGCCATACATCAGGATTGGTTCGATGTAACACTGGAGAAGTTGTTTGCGGATGTTGAGCGAGATGTTACGGTTCCTCATTATATTGCTCATGCTCTGGAAGAGTTTTGATGGTGTTGTTATATCATCGTTATTATTGTTGTGTTGAAGTTGTAATTGTGATAATATTGTAGGCGTTGTATAATCACTGTTGTTGTTCTTGTAGGTGTTAGTATCACTGTAGTTGTGATTTTTGGTATTGTTGTAGTTGTTGGATTCATTGTTATTGTAGATGTCACTATTGTAGTTTTGACGTTTGTTGTAGTCGTTAGTCACTGATGTTGCAATTTTGGCATCATTTTGTAGTTGTTAGAATCACTGTTGTTGCAGTTTTGATATCATTATATTTGTTGTCATCACTACTGTTGTAACTCTGACATTACTGTAGTTGTTAGAGTCACTGTTGTGGTAGTTTTGGCAGTACTGTAGTTGTAGTTGTTGCAATTTTGACATTATTGTATTTGTTAGAATCACTGTTGTTGTAGCTTTGACATCATTGTAGTTGTTAGTCACTTCTGTTGGTGTAGGTTTGACATTATTGTAGTTGTTAGAATTAGTTTTTTTCATAGTTTTGACATTATTGTAATTGTTAGATTTTTAAGAATATAATTTTGATATTATTGTTGTTAGAATTTTTTCATAATTTTGACATTATTGTAGTTGTTGGAATCAGTGTTTTATAATTCTGACATTATTTTATTATTTTTGTTGTTGTTTCACTGTCGTATTATTTGCTGTTGTGAGTGTGATTGTTCTTGTTATATTTGTTATGGTCAGTTCTGTTCATTTGTTGTCGTTGTTGTTTTTTTGTATTTGTAATTGTTCAGATAATTATTGTGGTTATAATTACTGTTATTGATGTTTAGTTTTTTTATAATTGTTATTTGAATGTTATTGATAGTATTTTGTTGTTGTTGGTTTGGTAAAATGATTATTGTTGTTGAAGCTTGTTTTTTTCTTATGATTAAAGTAATTTTATTAACTTGGCTGTCGAATTAATTGTGTACATCCGTAGTTTATTTATTTTTTATTAAATTTGCATATAATAAATTTATTCATCTGGCATAGACAACCTGACGATATAAAATGATAGATAAATAGATAGACAAAACTAGACATATTTAGAAATAGAGAGAAAGAAAAGATGGAGGCAACACATGAATAAGAAAGACAGGAACAAAAGAGATAAAGAGATAAAACAGAAGAGAAAGGAGGAGGCAGAAACAAAGACCAGATGAACTAAGGACAAAGACGCACAAAAGAAACCTTTCTTGTGCAGTACGTAAGGATCATTGCACTATGTATTAAGCTGGAATATACACCTCTAAGCACACTGTAAAGCCACACGTGATGATAATAAATGAAGGTGAAGAAATATATGAAGTTTATAAACAGACACAGACGCACACGTATACGTATACGCACATGGCGTGTACGCGTATACGTACACGTACACTCACACTCATACTTATACTCACACACACACACACACACACACACACACACACACACACACACACACACACACACACACACACACACACACACACACACACACACACACACACACACACGTGACGGAGATATAATCGAAACCAGTTAAATACATCCTTTTTGGTGTGGAAATATTCGTTCTCATTCATACCTATTCTACATTTGTCATCATGAGTACGGTCACACTCACTCACTCACACTCACTCACTCACTCACTCACTCACTCACTCACTCACTCACTCACTCACTCACTCACTCACACACACACACACACACACACACACACACACACACACACACACACACACACACACTTATTCACTCACTCACTCACACACGCACACACGCACACACACACACACACACACACACACACACACACACACACACACACACACACACACACACACACACACTTATTCACTCACTCACTCACTCACTCACTCACTCACTCACTCACTCACACATACACACACACACACACACACACACACACACACACACACACACACACACACACACACACACACACACACACACACACACACACACACTCACCCACTCACTCACCCACCCACACCCACCCCTTCCCCAACAGCAGCCCCAAACGAACTCTAACCTAACTCTTTACCTCTTTCCCTTCAGG